CGGGGTGATAATTTGGTGACGTTACCACCGGGCCACCACCACCCACGATGCTGACAAGGATACTGATATTCACTTGGAGCTCATTCGAAAATAGAGTTCACGCTAGAAAAGTAATCCACAAATGGTTTCGCATTTCTAGACGTATTAGTGTCACGACGATCAGATGGCTCTATTAGTAGAAGCACTACAAGAAAACAGACGAGACAGTACACTGCCAAAGTTTCGTCCCATTGCAACAGAAGATGAATTTGATTCGGTGCTTAACCGATAGAGTTAAGAAACTCTGTTCCCTGGACTCTGTCGAGTTTGAACTGGGAAGAATACGAAATGTTTTTCTAGAGAATGGATATCCGGAGCAAATCATTCATAGAAGCATGACATCATATCCCTCCAAGGCATAAATGACACAAGAAATAAAAAGCGTGTCTATCACTTCATCCCATTCAGGGGAGAAGCGATTGCGAAAGTACTGAGTAGACGAATTCAATCTTCCATCAAATTCAGCTAATTCGCGGCTGAACACCGCATTACATTCACTTTCAAACCGGTCCTCTTTATGCAGACTAAAGATAGATAATCCACAGATGCAAACTCATTTTGTGTTTATCAATTTATCTGTTCTTGCGGAGCGAGTTTTATGGGTCGAAGGGTGAGGCGTCTATCTGACCGCATCAAGGAGCATCATGCCGGTTGGGTTAAACCAAGGTTTGACAATGACCGGGGCGACGGCAATTACGAACCACTGGACTGAGTCTACTCACACGGTCAATGTGTCAGAGTCTTTCCGTACTCTCTATGCGGTCAAGAGTAGATCACCCAAAGAGATCAATATCAGAATTTTGTCTACAGCCGAGGCCATTGCCATCCGTCGCTACAACCCCACCCCCACCCCTTGTGAGTCCAGAAACAGTTTGTAAGAACATTGGCCTTACCATGGCATCCACTAACAATCTGGTGACGTAATCTCCGTGCATGAACTCAGTTATTCATCTACCTACACATTCACAATCACCCTCAGTCTAGCACTTTTAGGCATGCACACAGACACTCAGTATCATCAATTATCACAAGTCCATCATCTTTCTTTAGACTCTGATTAGCTCCGCATGTATTTGTCTCCTCTTCCCGCCTGTTTCACCTATCATATATTGTGTTGTATTTAGCCAGTTGACGTAATACCGAAAACTAGCTTGTTCGCTATTTCGTTCTGTTGACTACTCAAACGGGAATGATTTCACATAAAAAACAAATTAATGATAATTGAAAAGATTGTTTTTGTCGTAGCTATCAGATTAAAAAGTTTCAGCAAGAAATTCAATAGGAGTTTGAAATTCGACAATTACTTACTACGAATATAAGGACTGGTTTAATATGATTTATTTATCGTTCCCTGCAACTAGGCAATAGTCATTATCATTCCTGACTACCCGAGAAAACCGTCAGGTAGGAAAACCTCCATCAGAGTGAATTTTGTTTCATAAGTTTAGGTCACCCTGGGCGTACACCTTTACAACAGAATTTCATTGTCATTTCAAGTTATATTCTCTCGTGGATTTTCGAATGTAGTGGTAATTCTCCTGAGTCGTTTGAGGCTTACATAATGGTCACATCGATTACCATGACATAGGCAGGCACACATGATTTTAACGAAACTTAGCCGGATACAGAAGAGTCCGTCGAATGAGATAGAGTTTATCCTCTTTCAAGGTCGTATTAGAGCATACAAATTAATTAGACATTTTACGGTTTAAAGATCCACCTACGAGACGTGCGATTCCCCCTTGAGAATAGTCAGCTTTAAACAGTTTGATGTGCCATCAAATGTATCTTAGATAATGATGAAATGGGATCAAACAGCTGCAATGAAATCACAGGGGATGAGTAAGAAACAACGAATTTTTCATGATAGATTGTGTGGCCATCCTTGGCTAAGCAGACAAAATGGAAGATAATGAACTGAGAACCGAACGTATCATGTCCATCGATATTCGAACGCAAAAGCAAGAGTTCAGAGGAAAACGACTTGTGGTATACCTCATGGTGTACACTTTTCCATACCCTTGTATACGATCGAAAAGATAGTTCTGTGCACGTGTGGAGTAGAAAATCAAGATAGTGCATTTCACTGAATAATTTATGACCTTATGTTCTATGTGCCGTAGGACACGTGACCCGCAAGTTTGAGCATTTCGGCCAAGCAACCCATTGCAGGCGAGATAATGCGAGCATGATGTGCACTTTACTCGTATCTGATCGATCTCAGTACTATCTCGAGTACAATAAAGTTGCGGTAGAGATTTCGCCAAACGATTACCATGGCCTGTTGCAACTCTTTTGGTATTGGAAGTGCAGTTCTATGAGCTCATGATTATTCCGAGCCTGTGATGACCCTGGTACAACTTCAACCGAGTGCAATCCAATACACTTAGGTTGCAAACGCTGAATAGTTAACACAAAGCAAACGGTGAGTATACAACGAAAGCAAGATGTGAACGAATAAAATATGAAGTATATTTTGTACCGAAAGCAGGAATTCGTAGCCCGTGTTTGCATAGGAAGCGACTTGTCATGGCATGAAAATCGCCACAAAAAAAATCAAACGCCCCATCACCAAAATTTGGCGGGCAGTGGTTCGTTAAGCAGGCTGTTGGCCTAGTTTGAAAGTGGTACATGAGGTGTGGTCACAGAATGGAACACAAGTCGGTGGAAAAGCAGCAATGAAAACCAAGGCCAATAAGGTCATCTCGAGTGAACCGATGACTAGTAAGGGAGAGAAATATGATAGGTAAATGAATGGATCAATGAAGCAGCAGGAGTGAAACTCATTTCCAAAGGGGTACATTTCGCAGAAAAAATTCAGATAAGAGAAAGCACTTGGCGTGAATTTTTGAAACGAGATGTGAGGGGATAACCGGAGTTGATAAAAATGCTGGCACAATTTGTACAAACAGTGATTGGACTTCGGTTGTTTTGAGATATCACAAAGGGGTAACAACTACTTGCATTTCATGCCTTGATCATACATGCGAGAGGATGTCCAACAAATTTCAAAACAAATCAAAAGCGATGCTTTTCAATTCGATTAACCGAATTATTTCGTTCGCACAGAATGAACACTCAGAGGAAGATGTTAGTTTATCTGCTTGAGACAAGGTGTCAACTCTGTACGAATCACAAACAACATACGAGTAGATGATCAAATATTAGTACTCACAAATAAGAAAGTCAATGTATGATCACATGTGCAAAGACAAAATAGAGAGTGATCTGACTATGGCCAAGATGAATGAAACAAGGTTGCTAGTAGTAACTTTTCCGTAACAGACGGATGATGAGTAAACTGTTACGACTAGTACAACTGCAGCTTTCAAGACGGTTCCGTGTAGATAAATGCTACATATAGCCAGTTTCCTTTACAGATAGTAACACGGCGAGGGAAAACCAAGGTTCACCAAGATTAACATGAATGTAACTATTTTCGATAGCCCGAATCAGCTACATGTGTTCACCGGCAATCACCAAGAGACAAAAAACGTAGAATACTGTCTATCAGACAAACGAACATACCCATTCGACTAATCGTAGAAGTGACAATGTGATAGGGATCTCAATTCAAACATGACAAGGTAAGGTTAGTCAAATAGTCTGATTGTTTACATGGATTGGGCTGAAGCCGTCGAAAGGTCGCGGCATCAACCAAAGCAGACGGTGGTCATCGTCTGCTTATCATCCTGAAATATTCTGTTTGTTTGACACACTTATTAAACAGCAGGTAACTGGTTAGCCAACTAAACACTGAGATAAGAACAGTGCTAAATAAAAATCGAAAACCAGCAAGCGAGAGGTGCGTGCACAGGAACGACAACAAACAGCGACTTATTACAAAGCGAAAATGCCACTTACTTCTGACTGTGTTGCATCCAGAACCAACTCCGAATCCGGAGGATCGCTGAAAATATGAGTGACCTGAAATAGATAGCCGAGGATACAAGAAGATAAATATGAGGATAAAATGGATAATACACAATGGAATACCTCACCATATTTATCATGTACAATAGTCAGGAGGTTAAACCACAGGACACATGAATAATGTGACTGCCGGAGTTCACACGCGTTGACAGTCATGAAACTACTACAAGGAGAACCAAATTAAAAGGAATGATACACTTGTCTGCTCTTTTGCCGAACCTACGTGAAGAACATCCAGAACAAAAGTAGTTTCAGAACTCCAAAATGACTTTATCTCAGGCTAGTATACACCATCGATCCAGGTGAGAATAGCTGACACTACGGGTTGCAGCTTGCCCGCTCCCATCAATGAGGTCGTCGGTTCTGCCAGAAACCCTGCAGATTTGTTTATTAAGCACATAATTGCAAATACATGCACATATATGGGCTCGATAAAGAGTGCTTTTTGGATGGAAATGTTACAATTTACAACTCAACGTCCGTCTCAATTCTCTGTGTATATCTAACAAAACAGGAAAATCAATATTAACACCGGTGGGCAATATACACAAAAAGGAGTGGGACAGCTAAGAGCTATTTGACCAAAATCCTAAAATCCACATGAAAGGCACGATCCTAACTACATTTTTACTAAAAATCGAGTAATATATGGTTTCCACCTAGCTTGCAACAGACGCCTAAAACTGGTCAAATCGGCTGTTTTGGTAGTGAATAGAAAATGACCTTGACACAAAGATAAAATGTGAGAGGCGGAAGTGGAATACGAGTGGAGGTCAATACCGGTGCGGAACCAAATGTTTATCTCAAGTTACACGAACCGCCGGTATGAACATATTATGTTCATTTGTCGCTGACCTGGAAAAGGTGCCCTGTGGTTCAAATCATAAGAGTTGCCATGCAAAGCACAAAACACATGTAATTAACATGTCTCAGAGAGGTAGTGATCGAAGTTGTGACCGAGTACTCGAATCGTGGTGACAATTGGTCACATTGCTGCGTTACCGATGCATAGGCCAAGCAGTGAGCGCTTGATTGTCAAACCCAGAAATTAAAAACCAAGAGATTCATTGATTTGAGACACCTAGTCTTGTGTACTACATTCATTCTTGCGGTGCATTTCTGTGGATGGTGAACAGTTTAACGAAGCCTGTGTGTTCACACACTAGATACCTTGCCTAGACTAAGGAGGTCGCCGACTGGAGGAATCAAATGAAAAAAGAACTGCGTCCCAAATGGACATAATGTCACACAATGCTGTTGTGACTTATTCCGTTTCAGTTTCAGTTCGTACAACCATTAATCACCCATATTCGTGAACCCGTTTTGGTTGCTGTCTTTTGGCTGCCCATTTGAATGAAGAATAGGAGAAAGGCAGGAAAGGTTGAAAGCAGGATCAAAGAGACAATTGAAAAGTTCACTGGACTAATGATACAGAGAAATTGAGAAGATGCACGAACGCCACTGTTTACGACACCCAACCATATCACTCAGTGTCTCTAACCATCGGTTACAATCATCCCGTGGTCCCCAGCCAGGGAGCCTAACAGGACCTATGTGACCCAGTCTCCTAGTTAGGGTTTTCATACCTTCTTAACAGGTAATTAGCTTGACCACCCTTGGCTTTTTTCCACTCACCTCGCCAAGCATCGCTCGGTGTGGCAACCTATCTGGTGACATGCGTAACACATGCTCCAATCAACATAGTCCATGGAAGTTGACCACTTGCTCCAGTGGGTGACCTCGGATACCCAAAACTCTTTGCCTAACCTCAGCATTGCTCATTCGGCTACCCCACCAGATTCATGCAATGCTGCGTAGACAGAGGTGTTCGGACACCGACAGTCTGTCTTTATCCTGTTTTCTTAATGGCTAAGTTTCTGCGCCGTATAACAAGACTTATTAGGGACAGCAGAGAATAAAATACGGCACACGGCTGAAACAGTTTACAGTACAATTTTTTGTCCATTAGCGAATTCCGTCGCATACACAATACAATCACATACAAGGAATTCACCAACTCCCAAGGAGTGAAACCTGAAACAAAACATTAAAAATACCCTGGTGCTGTGGCATCCCAAGGCCTCAGTATGGTTGGGGGTGGGTGTCTAGGGTTGCGGCTGGTCACCCTGCCCTTGCACCTCACGAAATGCCCCCATACGACCAAGCGTCTCAAATAGCCTCTGCTGAGGAAGCCCTACTCACTGCCTCCTCGCGGCGGTGTTTTCCCACTAAAGTGAGAGGACGAAAAGCCGATATCCGGGGCTATAGCCGGGTTGGTGGACCACTGGCAGTTCACCTAGGAGAGTTGGCCAAAAACCCTGATTCCAAAACAACCATGAGGAGAGTGAACGAACTCACACCCACACCTTTTCGGTTGTGGCAGTGGTCACCGGCTCGATTGGGCATTGAGGTGTATTGGGCACCTGAGCCCTGATTCCAAACCAACCATGAGGAGACGTACGAACCACACCCACACCTTTTCGGTTGTGGCAGTGGTCACCGGCTCGATTGGGCATTGGGGTGTATTGGGCACCTTGGACGTCTGACCCCGTCCGAAGGACGTATGATCCGACGAACTGGACACCGGCTCCCAATGGACTGCGGTTTTCGCACACCGCTCCTCTGCCTTGCGGGTCAGGCTTTGGCTAGCCGAAGGTTCCGGTTGTGGATTCCTCAAGAAAATTCACCTGCCTTGGCCTGGGCAACCTGGCAGTACTCAGCCCACAAGCCAATCATGGAACATTTTTCTTTTTATAAAGATTATTGTACCATGATTTGTTTGGCACACAGTATGTCCTCAAACAAGTGTGAAATATATATATATATATGCTGTGAATCAATGCGGAATATAACCTAATGTCGAACTTCATTAGTCATTTGAGTAATTAACAAATACTGAGGTCATATTTTCAGTAATCCTCATTTAAATACAACAAGCACTGAAGATGCCAGATCGACTGGCGTTGAAACGTTTACCAAAACAACTGACAAGCTCAATGAACAGAAGAAAATTAATTCATTCAAACCAAGCTACCAAAGCCAATCTTTCAATAGTTTTCTGTAACTGTTATTACTATTACTATTATGTCTCATAATCATCTGAGTCCAGATTGTGCCAAACGATAAAACAATGCGTAAACAAAGAACTGGGTCTATTATTTGCTTGTTGGTGGAATACTGCCAATGAGTACAATATTTCTGAAATCTCTCTTTGATTGCGCGAGAACTTATTCTATGAGAAATCGCTACAAACGATTGGGGAATAATCGCCAGGGGCACCAAAATTAACATAATGTTGTTTGGCGTGTCATGCTAAGGTTCTGTTGAGAACATACTCATCTCACTTATTACTTCAAGTAATCATTGTGGAATCTTGAAGTAATTCGATGCCTAAAGGAACGCAGGAATGTTCGAATGATTCTACGACGTGAGTTTTGGCTGCATAATTACAGTGAAGATGAAGCGGGACGGTCAACCCGATACACGTTATATTGGCAATTTGTTTGCAAACGATTCATCAACAGCTGAGGTGACATCATCAGTGCTTGTGAAGTGGCCAAGCTCGGTGAACAGGTGAAATAGAATTCAGTTCACCCGAGCTACGAGAACCAATTTTCAATACTTTGTCCACATGTTATATCCATCCAGTTGTACAATTTCACTGAGGATTTTTTCGTGCAGCCACCATTCCTGAAGGTTTTTGTACTCCTTTTTTCGTGTGATTTCTACTACCGCCTTAACTTTTCTTAACAGAGAACGAACATTGCTTTTTAAAATGAGAGGAATTTGTATTTGACTGCTGCTGCACTATCTGAGAGCGACTTGTCAACCCACTCGATGCTTCCTTCTTCTACCGTTTTGTGTTTCGATCATCCACTTGAACTTATTTCTCACATTGTTGGAATATTTCACAAAAGGTGCAGTTTGCGCGATGACACAAAGATTTCATGAATGTGCTCGTATACGGTAGCATTTGGTGTCCTTGAAGTTGATAACGATGCGATTTGATGACGAATAAATTCACTAAAAGTGTATATATGATTTCCGAGCTAAATGGCGCGACCGAATTCAAAGACCCCACTTTTCTCGATATGGAATCTGGTTTTGAAAGCTAAGAAAATCGTAAGAACCGTGATCTAATTGTGTGAGGATATTTTGAAGAATTCTAATTTCCGGATAGTTGAAATCTGATGGTAGAACACGAGTAGCTATACCGTGGGGTGTACTTCTGTAGTGTACTTTTGGAGCGAAACCCTTGATATTGTAGATGTGATTTATTTCATATGCAGGAAACATTCGTCCGGTCAGCACAGATCACGTGAATAACTTTCCACCACTCCGATTGTAGGTCGACTACAAGCAGTAGGCTTTCAACCACGCATGGTTAAACAAATGTTTTTCAGATCAAACGCATAAACCGAAAGTAAAGACAAGAAAAATACAGAAAAAAACATCCGATCGTAATTTGCGAGACAGTAAGATGGATGCCAAATAATTGCTGGCGTGACTAGAGAGAATTACAGGATTTTTAGAAACGCCTGTTTATCCAATCCGTAAGAACAGAGTGGAGACAAATACTGTGAGATGCTATCATTCCTCATCATACCGTCACTGTAACATAAAAAACCTGATGTTCCTGTAAAAGTTTTGGTGAACACAATGGTTCAATGGGTACAGTCAGTGAAAGAGAGCTACAAAATTGCTCTCATTAATACACACGAAGCGTAGTCAACAGTTAGTGTGGACCCCGCAGTTACCAGGAACTACTGTTGAGTTACGAAAACCGGCGACTTCAGCAATGGGGATTTGAGTAGCGAACCATATGGGGACCTTAAAGTATAGATGACGTACGGAACCAGACAGCGGTAAAGCCGCCTGTCACTAAAGTTAGATCACGTTGGCAGGGTTGCAACTTCGGATCCTAAGGAGTTCGTAAGGAGTAATGATTGAAACCGCTAGACCACCCGAACCCGAATTATCTGGTGGTCAATGGGTGTTGATCCCTCCATATAATGAGTCTATAAGTCTATATAAGTCTAATTTTGTAGCGAAAGCATATCAAACAAAAGGTAAGCAACAGACAAAGAGAGTAATGATGCTAACCAATTTGAATACTGTTTTTTAATATATTGGTTCCCTACCGTAAGGTGTACATCACGAATAAAGCCGCAACGCATATGCAGAAGCGACGGTTGAACTAATTCAATTCCGAAAGGAAGGATAGGGGTTGAATACCAATAGCGAATGACCCTGCAAGATACTAACAAGGCATGAGTAGGAAATCTGTTGCCGACCATGAAAAGAAAATGAACGACATATGTTATTTATAACTATACTAAGGATGCGAATGTTGTTGTTGGAGGGTTCTCCGAAGTGAAATTGTTCTTTGCGAATGTTTTGTAGCCATTTGTCTATAAACAACACTCCTAGCTTAAATAACCTTTCAACACTAACATGAGTCATCATCATCACATGAATGCAAAGCTGACAGCGTAACTAGCCAAGTTAAACGGGATCAGGAGCAAGATTTTGAAACAACTCATGACCTAAACAAAACTGTGGTGCCACAAGAACACGAACTAAAATAAATAAAACTTTCCGGAGCAATGGATGCCGACGAGTTTAACTGTGCATAATTTGGATTGATTAAATCACACGAACGCCATACTTAAATTTTTAAGCGTGGTAGTGTAACTTATAAATCGATTTATAATGAATTCTGAACAGACAGCATGAGGCTGTTTGAAGAGGCCTCGAGACGAAACATTTGATTCGGTTATCTGGCTGACCTGCATGATGTAACACAAATCGATGGCAAAACTGACCATCTTTGAACTGCCACAGTGCAGAAACTGGTAGAGCAAGACGAGGTCAAACAGAAATCAACAACCCGTATCAACAATTATCATTAAAGAGAGTCGATTACATTTTTTGACCCCAGCGGTTGATGTCGATAATTCGGTTCAATGTGATGACTAAAATATCTATGATGTTACAGAGAACCAAAGGGTCAACAACTGATCGTGTTCAGAACAAGACAAGGAAAGCGGCTGTCTTGACACGAAACGAAAGGTCATGTAGAAGGAAAAAAACATGATCGGTTATAATCCTGTGGCCTAATTTTATTCAGTTTACTTTTTTAAATTTGTTTACTAGTATCATTGTCCTTATTGTTATATAGCTATTTTTATTTTAAGAGGACCCCCTAGTTTACTCAGTTAACAAGTGTGATAAAACCCGCATCCGATCCCGGAGGTTGCAATCCTGTACGGTACTGTCTATATGTACCAGGTTTTTAGAACACAGGAGGATCGCTATTAAGTGCAAAATCTACTTAGTCCTCCGTGCTCTGTAAGTATGAGACCAGATGTCTGGCAAAGTAACGATGTCAACAAAGTGAAGCAAAATACATTAAAACAGACAAAACATAAACGGGGGAAGGGGTAAAAGGACGATATCACCAGGGTACCGACAGACTAACATAAAGTTCTTTTTGTTGACACAGGAGGGCCGCCATCGAGATCACGTCGGCAGCATAGATTTCTTCTGTCACTTGTTGCTATATTACTAAGTTACTCGATGGTTGGCATACGGAGAAACAAAGACAGCGAAAAGTACGATATGCCACCATTGGATCGAAAGTAATCACCAAGTTGACGTAAGTCGAGCCCTCAGAGCCGTTTATCGTATTCCATCGCTAAAATTTTAATCGGTAAGCCTTATCCTTATGTGCACGGCTGAAGCAATTGCGATCAAACGGCTTGACCGCCAACTATGCTATTAGAAACGTCCAGGCCAGTAGCCAAGCGACAAACTGATGCGAGTGTGGTAACTTGAACGACTAACTAAAGGGAACCTCAATCGACATGATCGCGCACGTAGGATCGCTTTGTACATAGGGTAATATGGTCCACCTCGCACTGGATCAAACAATATTAAATGCATTACTCAGTTGTAATGTAAATGATCAGTTGAGAAATTTATCGAAAAGCAGCTTGTCTCGCCTTTCGGATTTTAATTTCAATGCAACAATGAACGTTTTCCTCGTTAATTTTGATGGTCATTTATACCAATCACAAATACCAGAACATAACATAGGAGAAAAGGAATTCCAATATACTTAACGAGTTTCTCGCAGCTAGAGCACCTAAATGCCGATGAATACATGCGAAGGAATAGGACTAAGAGACCTGTCGAGATCCACAAGACTGGCTATGTAAGAAAACAAGCAGCATGCAAACGGATAATCTGCATTGACATCGATAGTTGTAAAGCGGGTAATTGTTGCAGTGGTACTGTCTATATAACTCAAAAAACAAAACAGAGGTCATCTAAAATGCTAGCATTTTTTATCTGATCCATTCATGGATTTGTAAAAAATCGGACGTCAGTTATGCGATCATATTCTAGGCTTTTAGTGACCCAGAAGACTTCATTTACTTGCAACAACGTCCCAAACTTGAAAGGTTTAGGGAGACTCATTCTGCATTACAGTACCAAGACAAAAATGTACATTTAGTTCCGTAAAAGTATAAAATAACTCGGTATGTCGGCAGATTATCAAATTTCTGGAGTAGTACCGGGTGAGGAGGGAGGAGAAAACATCTAATCTTAGATGTACGCCACAGAAAATCGGGCATCGACCAAATCACCCTCCGACAGTTGCGAGAACACCATCATGCTTGCCACAGACCAACGATAATTGTGTTCTTTGATATCCACGCGAATTTCGACACTATCGGTACGACCGCCCTATAGATCTGTTTGTATAAAAATGGATTATCTGAGAAGTATTTGCCAATCCTCAAGTAGCTATATCTTCATATATCAGTGGAGAGCGACAAGGCTACCCTATATCCCCATTCGTTTTCAACTTTGTCATAGAGAATGCTATAAGGAATGCTTTGTCCGGTCTAGCAAACGGTGAAGTCGAATTCATCCCAAGGAACAGAGTTTTCGACTTAAAATAGCCGATGGCCTCGCCTTGTTGGGTGACAATGGACAGGTAGTCCAGCAGGTTTTAAACTACATGGCGATTGAGGTATCCAGTGCTTTGCATTATTCAAGTGCAAAGTGCTTTTTCAAGACTGACAGGAGTTTGTGTCTTCACTCACCCGCTGCGGTGATCAGACAGAAGTGTGTCAGAGGTCTAATTACTCCAAGAGCTTGATCGCAGCAGAATTTAGTGTTGGGGAAGAGATGATTTCACAAATAGCAAAAGCTAGAGTAAATTTTGCTAAAATGTGACACTCGTATGTCCCTTAAGGGAAGGGCGTATGTCCTCGGTTGCGAGACCTGGTCACCCCGCGTAGAGAGTGTTAACCGAATTTCTGTATTCGACCACCGATATCTCCGAAGCATTGCTCGTGTCTGATGGGAACATCGTGTGAGCAGTCAATAAATAGGTCACCGTGTGCCGGATACCGATAGTCGTTCCCTAACAGAAGCAATCGCACTACACTGCCTCCGATGGATTGGCCACGTTTTGCGTATGCTTGCCCATCGTCTACCTCTCTGTGCTCTCTTTGCACATGCTAGACAAAGATGAAACAAGCGCCATGGCGGTCAGACCGTGACAGGGTGTACAGGCATGAAATAGTTGGGGTCAGAATTGGCTTTGGTTGAAGCAGCTCACCTTCCAGACTCGGACCCAAAGAATGAGGATTGTCGTTGGTTGGAGACGCTGATAGGTATGGCTCAGAATAGACATCATTGGCGG